CAAAAACAAACAAACAAACCAATTATCCAAGTAACCAAAATATTTACCATCACTACTTTTATTGATGTGACTGCATACAATGGTATACATACAATCGGCTTGTACGTCACTCACAAGTGTGACCTCGTAGCAATTTGTGGTACCTGTTATTCACGTGTAATTTGTCTAAATAGTAAAGTAGCTTTTACTTAATATATTACTTTAGTACGTTACAATCTACAAACATAACTACTCTTACTTAGGATAAGATTGTTTCAGTAAAAATAGTTAGGGCAAGTTTATATTAATTATTCTTTATCAGCTCAAAAAATTTGATCACTAAATAACACTATCTGTTAGGGCAAGATTGCTTTATTCGAACAAGAAATGTTGACTGCTAACTAACTTGCTCATATCTGTGTTTCTTGGAAATTGCTTGACAGGGACTAAAAACAGTATGTAATACCATTAAGTTGTTAACGTCTTTAACATAAACAAGAAGTTTCCTGTTTAATTATGACTAGACCAAGCTAGATAGGAAGCACTGAAAAGGGAAACACAAAGGACTGATTAGCATCACATGCTACTTAAACACTACCTAGTACAATAAGCTTTAAGATGCTTGATTGTTTTATTTTTCAAATATGCTTGTGCGTATTTACAATTTCTTGTAGCCTGTACTCTAAAATGTAAATGTATTAATAATTTTAATGTGTTCTTTCTAAACTTCTGTTCGTTACAACAAAAACTTCCTCCAAAGGTTATGATGTTTTTTTTTATGCTTATAAAATTAATTATTTATTAAGTTTTTTTCATACTGATGAAAAGAATAGAAAACGTTTGTAATTAAAGATTTTTCCATGATACTCTTACTTGAGTATTTCTGATCATACTTTGATTTATACCTTATTAATCATTTTAATCAGTACAAAGAGCTTATCTAGTGTAGCATCGGAAGATTTCTTGCCAAATAGTAAGCATGGTACTGTATTTGTTTATCATACATAACTTAAGGACAATTATTTTTAACAAAGAATCAGTTGATTTAGTTTTAGTAAAGTAGTTTCATGGCATTAGTGTTACTTTCAGCTTGTTCAGGTTTTATACTACATTGTGTATATGATAAATTTTGATTTACAACAACTTAGGGTTCAAAAACTAACTTAAGTCCTGAATTGCTCTACCTGAACACATTAATAGTTGGTTGGAAAATGGTTGTAGAAAAGGCTTGAAAGTAGGAGATTAATCCCGAGTAAGAATAATTGATAATCAAATTCCACTTATTGTCCAGCTCTAGTGTTAAATTAACACCTATGTGATATCACTAGCCATACTCATGCAGAAGTCAATTTAAAAGTAGTGCCATTTTTAGTTGACTTTTGCATACAGTCAAAGTTTTAAAAATTTATATCATTAATTAGACTTTCTGTACAGTCAAAGTTTAACATCACCAGTCAGAGCTACAGTAAAGTAAAACTTCAAAAGTAATGTATTTAAGCTCTAGAAATCAAAACCTCGAAACTGTATGTATATAAATGGTGTTTTTATTTGTTTTTTCTCACCATAATGAATCTGTATTTATATAGAATTTAAAAAATATGTCGCATTAACTTCTATACTATTATTTTGCTTGTTTGTATGTACGACCGTTATGCTTTCTGACCGAGAACCTGCTGCATAAGCATGCGTAGTTAGAATGTTTCCCCAAGAAAATCCGCGCATGCGCATTATTCACTCGACGACAAAGAGTCTGCAAAGCTCAGTGATCAAGTCGCTACTATTGCTCTATGAAACAAGAAGTAATAACAAAA